AGCGCCTGATGTCCCTCGGAGCGTCGTTCAGCCCAAAGCCAGCACGGGCGTGGCCAGGATCGTCGACCAATCGCAGCTGCAGCAAGCGATCTCCCGTGCGGCGGCAGTGGAGAACGTTGCTCTGCGCATCTTGCACGGATGGGTATTAAAGTCCGAAAATCGGCCAAGGGGATACCATGTGGCTTTCCAGTACTCGCTGGAATCCTTTGCGACGGACATTGCGCGTGCCATGTGGTACGACGAGGAGTGGTGCGAGGTTGTCAGTCCGGCGATTTGCGCGCACACGATAGATCTGTCCATGGACCTACCGCTTTGGTTCGCCGGCGTCAACATCGAGGACAGACCAGAGGACGACGACATGGCGGCGCACCAGGAGTCCACCATCATCCGCGTCACGTATGCATTCCGCGCGGCCGTGCAAATGGGGGCGCTCATCGACAGCGAGTTCATCTTGCACGATCGTCTTTCTCGGGTGGCTGATTGCTTCAGGCTGTTGTTGGAGGCGTGCATGTGGATAATGCGCATGGCGGGAGACAATCCGCGCAGCCACTACGAGGCTTTCTACTTCGCAGACCTCGTGGCGAAGCCCACACTCGTCGCGGCCATGCATCGCTCCTTCGATCATCGACGATCCGTCGTCCGCGGCGCGAAAGTCGTCACTGACAGGCTAGGGAAGGCGACCGCTACGTTCGGACAGTACCCCAACTACATACCTCAATGGGCACCCTGCGGCATTGCTTTCAGGCACGACGCGACCATAACGGGGCCGGAGGATGCAAAGAAGCTAGATTGGTTGGGTTCGGGCCCCCCTGATGATGACAACAACGACGATGGGAAAGATGACGCGTAAGGGGGGGGCGGGGGGGAGGTTGGGGCTGATGGTTGGCTGGGGAGGAAGACGGATGGGATGGGAGTGGAGGTTTGGCTGCTTTTGTGGACTCGCGCGCATGTAGTAGTGGATGGTCGTCATGCGGGAGGATGGGGTTGCACCGACGCAAAGTGCGCACCTGTTTAGTGTGTCGGAGAGAGGGATTCCGCAAGATCGTCTTCGGTTGCGCACTTGTTTAGCGCGTCGCCTCTGCCATGAAGTCGGGTTGATAGGTTTGAATGGTTTGTGGTGCGTCGGGGTACAGGTGTGCAGTGTGTCGGTCGTTGCAGTCGACGACGATATCATTCAATGTCGTCGTGTATTGTGTACTTATATTCGCAGCTCGCTGCGCGAGAAGTTCATAGCGCTTTCAGCGCACTCTTTTTTTATGTGATGTGTCCGTTGTTCTCGTGTCTTCTGTCAAGTTCTGTCGAATGATTGCAAGGTGATTGTAGATGATCGACTCCTATGTATGCACACAATCCATGTTCATCTATGTCTGTTTTTTGTGTTACGCAGTTTACTAATGTGAAGCAGCCTGCATCAACAATTGCAAAACACGTTTGTCTGTCGTCCCGCCAGAGAAGCGAACGATAACATGCGCGACTGAAGATTTGAAGAGGCACACATGCAGAAGAAAAAAAAGAAGAAAACTTCTCACCAAACCGAAACATTCGAGACATGCGATTTGAAGACACAGTCACCGAAAAATAAAAGTATAAAAATAAATTAAAAAAAAAAAATGTAAAAAAAAAAAAAAAAACCCAAACAGAGAGA